AATTACCTCTTGGGAAATACGACCAAGTTAAATTCAATTGAATCGTTAGGCCTACCATTTTACTTGTGGGAAAATTCACTCTTTAATTACCTTTTTTCACATGAGATGATTACAGTTCTTATTCAAGATCTACTGACACTATCGAAACTTACTGTAAATATATAACCTCATTTTTGGGATAGATAGCCTATTGTTATTTTAGTGATACTTTTACTTCATATCTGTAATACGAAACACGATCTCTGAACAAAAAAATATGCTTGTATATATAAAGAAAAGTTTCGTTTCGAAAAATCTTTTGTTCCGATTTTCAACTTCTGAAGAAGATTTAGTTGGAAGGAATTTGTGAATTGATGCTACCGGAAACCGAAAAAGATTGCTGTGGTGTGAAGGCTGTTGGATTGTGTAAGTCCTCCGTTCATTGTCCTGCTTAAAGTAACCAATCAAATCTTGGGATGTCGTTAAGATCGCAGAATTAGGGTCAAGAAGTGGATAGGTTTGCAGCCATTCACCTTCGTATTGCAAGCATTCTATTCTCATATCTTATAATCAAGTTAGTTTTTTATTATTGTGATTAACGTGCGTTGGTATAGAAGCATTTTATGTTTGCCTACTTTAACGTTATTTGCTATTCTTATTATGACAAAACAATTACCTAGTGTTATCATTTTCATCTAATGTAGTAGTCCTGGATTATCATTCTTTATATAGTCTAGTCTTTAATAATTCTTGAACTACTTTTTCGCATTTTTAATTCTATTTTTACACTATTCTTTTTTATTATTATATTTTCCCTTGAAACTCAGGCGGACGAGGATACATCTCCTTTGCCTCTTCCAAACGCTGATTCTACCAATAACGTGCCCCCATCACTTGATCAATGTATTGGTCATTTAGCGTCTGCCCAGGTTTCTGGCCCGTCAGATCCCAGCAACTCTAGTTTGGCCAAAGTTAGTCCTGTCTCCTACGGAGACCCGGCAGGATCCACAACTTGTGATTCATCTCCCAATACCACAACATCATCTACCACAGTTGCTATATCTTTATCCTTGTCTTCATTCTCGTCTACTGTCAATCCTCATCCGTCAGGTTTGGAAAGCAACCAGGCATCTAGCCCTTCACCATCTTCCATCCAGACAGACACTGGGGCTCACACTATCCCTGGACCGATGACTGAGATTACTGGA